AGGATCATTTGTTGGCCTTTAGGAGTGTTTTCCAGTCCAGTCTGTTGGGGCACCACGCCCTGGCCCCAAAGTTCTGGTATTGAATTTTTGACCAAAATATTCATTAATGTAGCTGGGCACCACTTAGCTTTATTGGCATCATGGCAAAGGAGGCACTTGTTCACGGAGACAATTAGTCACACATCCCATTTCCTCCTCCTATTCTTGACTCTCCTTCCTCAGTAGATTGCTCTCTGGAGGGGTAGTGGGTTACACATTGGGCTGCTAACCATAAAGGTCAGCAGTTCAAAACCACCAGCTGCTCCATGGAAGATAGCTGAGGCTTTTTGCTCCCATAAAGATTCATAGCCTCAGAAATTCCAAGGAGCTATAGCGTCACTATGAGTTAGCAATGACTAGGTAGCACTTGTTTTGTTTCTTCTTCTGCTGCACCTTGAATGGTCAAGAAACTACTAAGTGAACTAGAAGGCGGAATCAAAGCACTGAATCCATTGCTGGAACAGTTAACTGTGATGTACATGAAACCATGACCCTAACCTCCACACTGAAGAGCCAATTTCCATGAGATATTTGGCAATGCATACGCAGTCTCAGAAGCCACATTTCCTATACATTTTTTGTCTTTGCTATCAATGATACAGGAAAACCTGAGAAAGCTGGAAATTATGTATGGCTAAAATGCATCAGGAAAGCCATACACAACTGTGCTAAGGCCACCCCAAATCAACACACACTCCTACCATAGTGATAAGCAAACCCTATCGGAAATTCAAGCCAAGATTTGTGGAGAGGAGTATGCATATCAGGAGAAGGCTAGTACATTTTTGTTGGTAGAAGAATGGGGGGAAGCAACTTCCCATGAAAGTAGGGGAAAGCACCTAACAGTACTTATATAGAATTTAGGAGAATGTGCCTGGTACCAAGTTCATAATTGGACACTTTTGTCCTAGTTTCTATTCAGCCTTTGGTGACTCAGGCCGTGCATTACAGACTACTGGAACTTAAGACTCTGTTCTTGGGCACACATCTTTCATAGATCACAACAGAAGGCCTTGATATAGAAACCTCAATAAGTGCTAAGGGCCCTACCTCAAACTCCTATGTAGCCCTTGGACTTAGGCTGACACTCCCTAGTGTGAGAAGCAGGTAGCTGCTATCCCAAAGGCACAGAACTGGCAGTCACTGGATTTTGGCTCAGATCTCTTGCCTTGAAGTTGCCCAATGAATAGTGGGCCAGAACGACCATATACTTCCCATTTTAATGCCCTCCTTGCTTTATTATGATATGTATTACATAATCTAGTAGGTGTGGTTCTGCAATGACAATGAATGTGAATGAAAGGTTTGCTTTATCATCAACCCATATTGTCTGTGTAAATAGTGTCCAGTCACTCAGAGTTGAATCTGTACAAATGAACAATTTATGTATTGTAGTTCATAGCTGGCCTATCCTGGTCTAATTTCCTCTTCCCAACTATGTTTTAAATTCAATACCATTCGCTAAATTAATGACACTATCAACAGCATTACCTTGTGCCCCAGGGAGATAATTGATAATATTCTTTAATATGACAATGATGTCTCTAAAGTGAACCAGAAACATATATAAACCATAGTTCTATGAATAGATTTCTAGCCCCAATCTAAGAATAATTAGTTCTTATGACTTGGGCCTGCTTTTTTTTTTTTTTTATCATTTTATTAGGAGATAATACAACTCCCATCACAATCCATACATACATCA